CGATCAAAGTGATATATGCCTACGGAGAAGCAGATCCAGATGGAGAGGATCCATATTATCACGGAATCGACAACAGGGGAACGAAATCCTTGTATCTACTCGACCCTCCACTAGGTGAGCCTGAAAACCCCAACATGGATACAGATGTTAAAGTCAATGAAATGGTGACTCATCCCAATACTACATAGCCTTCACAACAAGGAATTCCATTTGCAAGTTGAAATGAATATATAAACCCTGAATCCTAATGCAACGTTGCAAACTACCGGAAAACGAAATTCGATCTCCTGATTTCAAGTAGTTTCGAATTAAAAGTGAGAGTTCCTAACAACCTTGGACGAGGAACGTCTCAGCACAGCGTCCCCTCCCCATTTATCTTAGGAAAAATAGGAATTGCTTACTTTCGTTGTGAGACTAGCTACCGTTGGCATGGTGACTTCATCTGTCCGGTTGTTTTTTTTTTTAGCATTTTGGCTCAGGGGTTGAATATGATCTTTGTTTCCTATTGTTTCTTCTTTTCGCTTTTCACTTCTTTCCCTTTTGTTGCCAATTCTTTTCCGGGACTTCCATGGATAAGGTCCACAATCTAGGGGCAAGGGGGCATCCCTACCTATTATAATTGCATCATGGGTTGCCTTGATGTCTCTTTGTTCCAAAATGTCAGGATTATTTCGTGAAGGTTCTAAATTCTTTTTGTATCCTCCCTGAAGGCATTTTCACATGAAAACCATGTTTTCAAATGGCTGGACAGTATATTCACGTCGCCTGAGTAAAACTCAGGACAGCATAATTTCAAATAAAAAATAAATGAAAAAATTTATGGTTGAGATGTCAATTCTTGTCGATTAATTGGCACGACACACTTGCATGCAATCGTAATAGGTGAGATCCCGGACGATCCTTCGATCAAGGAATGGATTGTGAGCAGGGAAATGGTTATTCCGGAAGTAGATACGACTTATTGGTGCTCCATCCAGAAGACACCCGTAGTGGACGTCACAAACCACATCATCGGCGTGAGTTTAAGCTTAGACTACTAGGACGGTAAAAAATATTACATTCCTCTTTCACGACGTTCATCACCACTCGTAATTCACCTTCGTCTTTGGCCAGTACAAGCCATACGTGAAGCCAGGGAATGAGAAGCACGTGCATCACCTGCTCCTTTACGCCTGCAACATCCCTGATGAGCTGGTGGACGTGTTCAACTCGTGGGCGGAGCATGACGGGGTCCTGTGCTACGGTCCCGATCACCCTCAGGAATGGTATCTGTGTCGAAGCATACTCATTGCATGGGCTGTGGGTGGTGAGGTACGATGATTTGCTGCCTTCTCGAGTGTTTTTTCCATCATGTGCCAATGTTCAAGTAATGCAATTAGTTTCAGCCGCGTTATGATCACGAGAAAACAAGATTCTTAGTTCAAGAAGGCCCTTTATGACGTAAAATCTGATACTGTTCAACCTAAACTGTATTTTTAAAATTGCAGAAGAATACCATGTGTTGTTGTAGCGTCGTAGATTTCAAATCGTATCATGCTCTCTCTTTCTCACATCGATGCAGTCTACCGGTAATGCCACCGTCGGCTGCTGGCATGCGTCGCTGCTACAACAGGGGCAATTATAAATATTATTTGTTTCAGGCTGTAGGCACTGGACGATTTCATCCTGCTCGGGTAGAAATAGGCAGGCATGATGCAAACTAGTTGACTAACCCATGTAAATCGGCCAACAATTCTTCCTTTGGGATAG